AGAGAGGCATGTATTGATTTTTTAGGTTTCTTAGCAAGGAGAACAATTGTGAGAAAGTACTCTAAACATCTTTCTTCTTTTCTTTTGATTTTATGATGAATTCAAGTTTAGTTTATTCTCCCATAACTATGAGTAGCTAAATTTCTTGTCTAAGGCTTTGATGGAACCTATTGGGTGATGAACTTCTTGTTTATGTGAATACAAATTGCTAGTTTAATCTTTATTTGTTCAACTTCGTGTTCGTTGTAGTTAATTGACAGGATCCTCAATTAGCTGTGCCTATTTAGTGTGCATAACTTGGAAAAGAGTGCATATTTAGGGTTTTGTTGAACAACACCACTCCTAGATTATTAGAGGAATCTATAATTGCGGGTTTAAAGGCGGGATTAGGAATAACGAAGCCTTGGGTGCAATCTAAAGTGAATTGTGCTAAATAAAGCAAGCTAGTGTATCTCGGGAGAGTGCAATAGTAGATTACTGTGATTACTCGGGAGAGATTTGCGGTAAGATTAGTGTTCATGATTGATAGAGGTGTGTGGGTAAATTTGTATGAGCATAAACAGAAGGGATTCCATCAATAGGGGAAATCATTGCCTTAGCTTTTTTCTCATAATTGTTTACAACCCTTTTTATTAGTTATAGCATTGTAGTTACTTGAAAGTTAGTTAGTAAAGAACACTCAATTGAGAATTTAAATATTTGGGAAGCTGATTCTGAAGACTTGGTGGGTCTGAAGGTTGCAACTGATAGGTTAACTCTCTGTGGGATATCGACTCCGGACTTGTAAACCGGATTATATTTGCAGCGACCGCATTGTCCTTTTTATAAGGCATAGTTGGGCGTGATCAGTTATATTAGGAGTCTATTATGTTAATTGATTCACTTTCCGTTTTAAAAACAGCGTAATCCTCTATTTCGTGCCGTGAATACAGTCGAATACAGTCGAATACAATAATCTGTCCAGCTATAATCCCATGTTTTACTCCATGAATACAGTCGAATACACTCGAATACAACAACTGATTAGCTGGACTTCCCTGATTCACGCCTATTTTTGCTACTGTATTCATGAATACAATAGCTTAAATACATCAAATACATCTTATAACCACATAAAAGGTATCTATAATCCATAATATAGCAAATGGTATCTATAGATGACCAATTACTACTAAAAGATAGTGCTTTATGAAAATTTCTCATTTTACAATTCTTATGTCCAAACGCCCACCAAGAGTGAGGGTGATGAATGATGATGATAGATGAGGAGAAATGTGTTAATGAGGGGAAGCATGTTCTGCCTGGAAATCGATATTATCGCCGAGAATGGTGTACGATATAATCAACTTGGCCGCTATTTAATGATTGTTCCCTTTTCCCTATTCACGTCCACACGCCGGCATGTACTTTTGATACTTTGCTTGCATTTCCTCTTTCTTTCTTCCCTTTTTCCCATTTGATCAGTTGCCAGCAAGAAAACCATGTGTGCTTGTTTATTACTGTCCAACCCAAAGACGAGTATAATATATGTATTCAGTAGTTCAAGCAAAAATATTTAATTTGAATCATATGTATAAGCGTTACGTTCTTTATACTTTGTTATAATTATTACTCCTTATTCTGGTAGGAAAACAATCTTATTTATAACCCTAATTAAACATTTTATTATAGGGTTTATCAATATGAATATACTTTTAGCTAGCGTTTGAACATATACTTGGTTAAAGTTTAAAAAAATGAGTTCTTCAAGAAGATGAGAGGAAGAATGGTTTTTGAAAGTTGTATTCTACTAATTACAGGTAATTAACAGTTAGAATATACGAGCTTTACGGCTGTCTTACGTATACTTTACTTGGACAGTTGGATACTTGGATTGCCACCCCCAACAAAATAAACAAATGAAAATAATAATAATTTTTTTACATTAATTTAGACAGATCCTTTGTTAATAACGGACTCTCCTGTAAATTAAAGGAAATGAAATGTAATGATACTGTTTCGGATCATGGTAGTAGTACATTCCCACTGGTTCTTGTGCTTGATGATCTTTTACTATAGTAATATAGTATATACTATTATATTCTTATATTGAATGCGGTATTAAAGCTTTCCATTTTACGTACTACTTCTCACATGCCAGTTACGTTGAATAGATCACCGTTATTTAAAAAGTAACATTTTTTAATCTTAATTGTTCGTAACAATTTTTAAACATTTCTCTTCAGCTTTGCACATGCCAATGATGATTCTTTCCTGAAATTAGCTGTTTGGACAAAACATTATATTTTAGAATTTTCACCGTTGTGTTTTTTCACTAATACTACTTAACTTCTAAATTCTAAAAAGTTTCTTTTCTGAAAGAAAAAAAATAGAACAATCGTCCTTTTTACATTTTTAAGAAGTTGCCTTGATGTAATAATGATGACTAGAAGTTTGTTTTAATGAATAGCCTTGATGCAACAACGTATTTAAGAAATAGCCTCGATGCAACTGTTTAATTATATATATATATATATATATATATATAAAACATCCTATCACCTCTCATCTTTTTCTTTTGAAAACATACTTCTTGATTTACGTAGAAATTACATCGGGTAGTCACTCTAGAGGGCTGCTAACTAAAAATTAGTCAGTGCGTACTGAATTTCTGTTTTTTAGTTCAAATTTTCAGGACACAAAGTGTTGAAGTTAAACTTTTAGCTTAAACTTTAATGACAAAATAAGTATGACTAATTTCTAAATAGCAACCCTAAAAATGACTATTTGTGTACTTCCCCCATATTTACCCCTAATTTACTTACTCCCTCCGTTCACTTTTTACTTGGCATGTATACTAAAAATAAATTTTTATTTTTATTTGTCACTTTACGCATATAAAGAGAATATATTTTTTTTCCTGTTATACCTATCGTATTTATTACTCATTTCAAATTATTTTATCAAATCCAATAAAATATGCATCAATTAATATAAGTATCATGGTAAAATATGCACTTCATTTATTATTTCTTAAGGGGCGTAAAAAGTCAAAACGTGCCAAGTAAAAGTGGACGGAGGGAGTATAAGGTTTTGGAGAGGGGATTCATAAAAATTCAAAATGAAGGTATTACACTGTCCTTAATTAAACCACACAGGTTTATGTTAGTCACAAGGTGTGAGAGACTAATTAAGGAAAAAGGGACCACAAAACACTTCAAGTCTACAACTCTACAAAAAGGATAGCTATTTGTATTCAATTTTTAGGGGTGCAAAAGTGATCGTATTTATGCAAATGTTTACTAGTAAAAGAGTATCAAGAGAGTGACACGTTATTGGATTAATCAAATTTAATTGCAATAACTCAGAATTGGCCGACAAAACAAATCAAAGGAGGAGTTTGAAGCAAAGTGCAAACCATGCATTCTTCGGCTCATGAGACCACAAAGTTGTCAAAAGCTACTAATCCACTTTCCACCAAGTCCCAATTCCAAGGATGTCTAACTCAAAAATGACCTCCAATTAGTTTATGCCGTTGACCTAAGTTTTTCTTTTAAAAAAAAAGGGAAATATAGAGATTGGATTTTTTTGGTTTCCCATCCGGTGTCCGGTATCCACATTGGGGCCCGACTAAATCCGGATTCACGCCGGGAAGTCCCACATTAGGGGTAAAGCGCTCTCTAACAAAGGCGACTCCATACCCAAGGGCTCAAACTCGAGATCTCTGGTTACGGATGAAGGAGTACTTACCACTCCACCACAACTCTTGTTGGTTAGAGATTTGGATTAATACCTTGTTGCATTTCCACCTGAATTGCGGATTCCAACTTGTTTAAGAATGAGTGGTAGTTATTACTAATTACTATATTATATTTGAATTCACAATTTTAGAAGTAAAATATATTTAATGGTAAAAATCTTAAAGTAGATTTAAAATATTTCCAATCCCAATAAACAATCTCTTTTGCTTTGACCATAGGTTTTTTACCTTTTCTTTCTTCTTCTTTTTCCTTATTCATGTGCGCACTATCCAAAGTACTATTACGAGAAGAGAAACATGTTCAAAGTCCAAACTCCAAAGTCAAACAAATGATAAATTTTCTTCCACTAATGAAGATAGGAAATCCATGCTTGTGATAGAAAAACAGAAGAAGGAAATTGCAATGAGTGTAATCTTGATAGCAGCAGTTGCGAACTGTATAATTTCGGCTATATATGAACATTGTACATGATTGTTGCTAGATGGTATTGGAAGTTCTTTTTTTATGCCTAAAAGTTTGTTTACCCTAAAAACGGATAAAAATCGAATTTATATTGTGGTTTTAAGGACAAGTGATTTTACTTTGGCACAAATTGAGAAAAAATACAAATTGATATTGATATTAACTGCAAATAGAAATAAAGCAAACCAAAGGAAATGTATAGCTTTGATCCTCGAGCTAGGCCGCCCTCGAATCAAACAAGTGTTTCACTGGAAAATCTGATCAAAGTAACAAAATATTGAGAGATTAAGAGAAAGGTAGTATATTGCTTTGTATTGCGTGAATATGATCTGCTTTACAAATGATCAGACCTCCTTTATATAGTAGGGGAGTCCTACCCTTAATACAATCCTAAATATAGTAAGAAATCCCATGATTAGCTGATTAATCGGCCTCTTCTTGATACATGCCGGGATTTGTGCCGTGATCCTTGCCTGATTGCGGATATTTTGTCTTTCCGTTATTCGACCCAGTAAGCTTCCCTCGATCTCCATCTTATTCGGTCTCGATCTTGGCCGATCTCAATCTTGATCTATCTTGGTTTTGGTTGGTCTAGATCTTAATCGGTATCTGGGTATCGAGCTCGGCAACCTAACTTCGTGTCACAGTCCGGTCTGACATGGGGTCGAACCCTGACCTGCCACGCCCGGTCTCGGCTATTCATACAAAAAGGGCAAGCCCGATTTTGACCATATATAGATAGTCTCCTCATTTTTTGGAGAGTAATGACAAGAAACGATTTGAGCCCTCGATCTTTACCTCGATACATCATGACGTAAGCAGCTGAGGTAACCAAAACACCAAAACGTCTAGTCGGTACAGTTTCACAGGCATTTAAGTGTGGCAGTCGACGGTCGGCCATTACCGAATTTGAACCGTCATCCTAAACCTATAAATGTATCTTTCTTTTTTGCCCAAACTTTATTTTTATATCTTCTTCACTCTAATCCTTCGCTTTCCTCAGAGCTTTGCTCTTTCAGATCTTGGTGTTTCTTCCCCTGTTTCATCACAAAATACCAAGTGCTCCTTTCCAGTTCCCATTCTTCTTCATCCATAAAAATTAAATGGCTAACACCTCAAAAATTGTTCCGCAAAAGGAAGTCGCTTCTTCATCAAGGCCCGCCAGTGATGGAGCTGCGGTGGAACCTCCCCTGGAGGACTTCGTTCCGACAAAGTGCCCCACTGCTGCTAATTTTAAGGTAGAGAATATAGCCTCGGTACCGGGTCGATACGAACCGGTCTTGAGGTACATATGCACAATTACCAACGATCTCCTCGACCAAGTTAAAAAGGACTACAACTAGGTCGACAAACACGTGGTGGTGACGTTGCCTAAGGAATCGATCACCACCCATGTGGAAGGGTTCCTAAGTGTTTAATCTTACCCTTTCACGATTGTTCATTTAGACCCCATCATCGTTGCCTTCTGCAAGAGGTACGATGTGACCCTTGGCCAGATCCATCCGTCTTTCTGGAGGATAGTGATCCTCCTCCAATTTTTTGTAAACAAGATAGAGGGGTATCCTTTTACCCTCGATCACCTTACGCGTCTCTACAGTCCCCGGCTTTATCGGGGAGGATTGATCAAGCTTTACCGCTGAGCCACCAAGCCCCCATTCTCGAGCATAGACGAGACTCGAGACCGGGGTTGGATGGGCCGATTTGTCCGAGTAAGGACTTCGGACTTAATCCTTGCTGAAGACATGCCGTTTCCTGAGAAATGGAAAATGAATCGTAAGTATTAGTTCGCCTTGAATGTCTAACTTTTTCGTTTTACTTCTCATCTTCTTTCCTCATCTATGTTTTTTACGTTGCAGTTGTGGCCCATGTGCCGGAAGTAATCCCCGATCTAAGGCAATGGGTCGAGGGCTCAGTGTCGCAGAACTTATACTCCGAGCATGCTTGGACGGGGTTATCAAAGGGTCAATGGGAGGCCCGTAACCACGGTAATTTTCTTTCTTAGAACGGTTATCAGTCGGGTCTCGTATCGAGCTTACTCGTCTTTCTTCCTTTGTAGGCCTAGGGTAGGATGTAGCAATGAGGCCCCCATCTGCTGAAGAAGAGGCACTTCCCCCTCCACTTGCCACGAAGCAGGCCAAAGAGAAGTAAAGAAAAGGGGCTCCGACCTCTCCGAGCCCGGAAAAGAAAAGACCGGCGAGGAGGCCCCGTAAGCCTAAGGGGACGCTGATGCTATGAATCCAGACTCAATCCGTCAACTAAGCGACGAGTCCGAAGAGGAAGAAGGATCCGACCTGATAGCCCGTGTACGGGTTGGTGCTTTGATACAAAAGTCCTCGGTATCAGAGGAGATTAACGAGGGAGCACCGGCCGAGGTTCCCGAACCGGAAAAAGTTGAGGCTGCTCCATTCCACGCCGAGATGGTCGAGAAAGAGACCGAGGGTGAGGCTTCCCGAGCGCCTGAAGATGTCCCAAGGGACGATCTCGGAGTGATTGATATCTCCGGATCTCCTAAATATTCGTACGACACTATTCGAGAGGCCAATACATTTGAGGGTCACTCTTTCGAAGGTCTTCAGGAGGCGGTTGATATCCTCGGCTTCTTGGGTGGGATGGAGTTTGCTGCATTGGGAGATGTCACCGGGTTTGGCGACTTACCAATTCCAAAGAAAGAACCGTCACCGGGCGCTATTGGGTCTAGCCTGAAACTAGTGGAGGTTTTCGACCCTAAGTGTTAACCCCGATCGTAGGCGCAACATAGTGCTCACAGTTCCGGAGGATGCCCAGATCTTCTCTTCCTCGGTGGGGATTGCTAGCTGCCTGAGATGCTTGGTGAGTGAGGAAGACCAAGCTGTGATGAATGCGGTGGGAGCTGCTTGCATGTTCAACGAGGCCCAACATGCTCTGAATCGGGTGTCCTCAAGGGCCATTCCATTATCTTTTTAAACTCGGAATTGTATTAAATTCTAACACCTTATTCTTTGCTTTGTAGGCTTCGCTGTTGCATCATGAGGCTTTCTTTCGGATCCGAGAGGAGCGCGAGTCTGAGGTACGGAACCTCACCGAGAGAAGTGACACTTATAAGCTTCTCAGTGAGAAGCTCCAGGCAGATTTGGTGAAGGCTCGGGATGAGCATGCCGAGATGGCCGAGCAGGTATTCTGAGTGCTTCAAAATAGTGAAGACGAACTGGAGGTAACAACTAATTATACTATTCTGCAGGTCCAGCAGAGGCTCAAACAAATTGGGGGCTGTAGAAACAAGTAGAGTCGATTCGAGCTGAGGCTGAGAAGTTCAAGAAAAATATGGACATCTTAGCCTAAAAAAGGGAAGCTGCCCAACCACAACTGGAATCAGCCGAGGTCCAGCTTCGAGTCGCAAGAGAGAAGGCCACGGTAAAAGCAAAGAAAATTGAGGAGCTTCAGTCCAATTTAGCCAACTTGGCCAAATAGCTCGAGGTGGCTAAATCTGAGGCGGCTGTGGCCAACATCAATGCCCAAGCTAATGCGACCCAATACAAGGTCGATGTCGAAGCTACCCGGGCATATGCCAGGAGCATGGCGGATCATGCGAAGTGGAAAGCTCGAAGGGAGGCCCTCGAGAGAACCCATGCTCAGGGGTCCGATATATCCGCTAAAATCGAGATTGCCAGAGCAGAAGAAACAAGGGCTCGAAAACTGGCTTTTCTTGAGGAAGACTCTGAGAGTTTGAGCGAATCTGGTGGAGAAGACTCCGAGAGCGAAGATGCTTCCTCTGATAAGGACCATGCTGCTTAGGATTTGTAATTTTGCTTTTATGTTGAGGCCGTTCGGCCTTTTTAAAGAATTCTTGATCGGGCCACATGGCCCTTGTAAAAAGGCTTTTGTATAATTTTTTTCCTTCCATGGTTTCCGAATCTGTTGCATTTCGTTAATTTATACAAAGGTCAAAGTGTCTTAGCATGAAATAATGGTGTTGCATTCGAAACTTTGAGATAGTAAGGACCGCGGTAAGTACTGTCCTCGACCATTTCTGATCGGTAGTCCTCGATCGAACGTTCGAACTCGAAGTGAGGAGGTTTTTAGGCTCGATAAATGGATGCCAAGTGAGATCATTTATTTGAACTTGAATTAAGGTAACCCTTAAGCTTGATAGCCAAGTGAGAGTGGTTTCTCAAACTCGAAAATAAAAGTCGCCCTTAGGCTTTAATAGTCGAGTGAGGTTTTGCCTGAACTCGAAATAAGGTAGCCCTTAGGCATTCTAGTCGAGTGAGAATGATCTCTCGAACTCGAAGTAAAAGTAGCCCTTAGGCCTTTGTAATTTGCTTTCTTTTATGTCTTTTTTAAGCCATTTTGGCCGTTGTGAATTTTGTATTTGGCCGATCTGGTCTTTGTAAAAAGATCAATTATGTATATATATAACGCTTTCTACCCTTTTAGGCTCTAAAACCTTTTCCTTTGCTTTATCGTTCGTATTCATAAAGGTTGGAATGCCTTAACATGAAATAATAAGGTTGTGTTCGAGGGTTCGAACAAGACCTTGCCTTTATTGCCTTTCTGAGTCAAGGCGTTATCGGGGTTCGACGTTACCGAAGTTTTCTCCCGAAAATATCTCAAGTTTAAGATTCTGCCGAGGGTAGCCTTTTAGAACCGGTTGTGAAAGAAAATTTTTTCTTTTTTGAAGGCCTATTTTTGTTACGGGTTTCGGATGTCTCCAAGTCGTGTTAATTGGCCGTAGCCTTTTAGTTCGGGATCTGCCCATTGGTCTCGTTTTCCCATTTTATTTTATCCATGCTTGCCCTAGATAACGACCCCCGAGTGGGGTGGCCATTGCCTTTAGAAACCGGGGAGTGGCCTATTAGGTCTTTGTCTCCGAAGCTCAATAATTCGATCTATTTGAGTTTTATTTTTTGGATGGCAGTACCCGAGTGTGGGAGTGATTATCCGAACTCTGGTTATAATCGGCCCTTGAGCCCGTTTTCTTAAGAGATCGAAAGTATAGGGTCGTAAAGTGGAAATTTTTCCAAGACATTAGATAGTTGCAAGGAAAGTACTTCTCTTTATTCTTGTCAAAAATAGTCACACATGCGTACATGTTTTATGTCAGGGCTCGATCAATCTATGCGGGCGCGGTTCGTTTTGACCGTTTGGCCCTTACAATATATCCTACCTATTGAGACCCTTTCATTTCGAAATAATTTCCTTGCTAGAACAATTCAATATCCGAGGGTAATCCCCCCTAGTATTCGAGGTTGATTGTAGAGAAATCTCGGATACTATAAACACAGTCTTTGATACTGATTCGTGATCGGCCTTCAATTATAAGTTAGCACGATCCACTGTTGCCTCGCTAAAAACCTTGCCGGAAAAGCCCGATTGAGACAAAAACGGTTCAAGGGAAAAAGAGTGCAACGCATGCTTTCAGACCTAAAGGCTTCGTGCCGCTCCTTGTCGATAACCTGCAAGTGTTAGTCAAAAAATAGAAAGAATTGAAATGGGGTCGTACCTCAGCAGTAATATTGTTTGAGATGAGTTACGTTCCAATTGTTCGGTAGTTCTTCTCCGTCCATCGTTTCGAGCTTATAGGATCCTTTCCATGTGATCTCGAGAATCTGGTACGGCCCTTCCCAGTTTGGACTCAATTTCCCTTCATTTGGATTTCGGGTGTTTAACGTGACCTTCCTCAGTACCAAGTCCTCGACATTAAAATATCGAAGGTTGGACCTTCAATTGTAATACCTTTCGACCCGTTGTTTTTAGGCAGCCAAACGAATAAGGGCGGTTTTACGCCATTCATCCAATAGCTCCAGGCTTGTATTCATGGCTTCGTCATTCGATTCCTTCGTTGCATATTGGAATCTGATGCTCAGTTCCCCGACTTCGACCAGTATTAAAGCTTCAGTGCCATAAACGAATAAGAACGGAATG